TAATGTTTGTGGTTAGCATTTGGCTAGCACAAGACTTATGGGTCCTGATCTGTGACCCAGCTACAGAGACCCTGCTCAGTTTCATATAACTACTACTTTACTATGTTACTGACCTTGATGTGTAAGCCTGTGGTGAATTATAAGGTAGGCAAGAGAATGATTTGAAAATATGGTGTGGACATGAATTTCTGATCTTTCCAAGTTTGAAATCTTAAGTCTTAATTAAATGTTAATGCTTGCTAGTCTGTTTTACAAGTGACAAGATGCATTAGATCACAGAGTACTAGACTGTACCTTATTTTGGAAGAGTTCATTAGTACAATTCCTTGGGCAATTTGCAGAAGTTATTTATGAGGGCGGGGAGGTTTGTGAACATGGACCAGGGCCTCACCATGCAATATTAATGAAAGTACAATAGTACTTACATACATAGTACTTTCAAGAATGCAACTTCTCCAATGACTTTGCAGTGTAAATTAACTGAGGGGAGGAAAATACATTGGTGTTAGATTTTAGTATTGCTGCAAAATTTTGTCCTGGAGCTAAATGTTTTCAAATATCAGGGCTTTGGTCCAGTGTTGTGTTTCCAGACATTCTAGTAAAAGCGCCTAATAAACTTGATGTTTTTGAATGATACCTAACAAAATGCATCTGGCAAACTTCTGGGATGCTTGAATCCACAGGTTAAGGTTTCACCTCACTGGTGCTTTCATTTCATTTAATAGAATCTGAAGCTCTCTGAGTAAAACAAATCCAGAAGCTTAAATTTTATGGTAAAGGGAGGAGGGGGAGCCAACAATTCTTCAAACAATATACAGACAAAACTGCCACCATGTGGCTTGACAGTGGTGATGCAGTTTCCAGATGAAACAACTATTATGTTCCAGGGCTAGCTAAAAGTATGCTATCACTGAGGATGGCACACACATTTGTTTTTTCTTAAAACCAAAGCATAAATGATTCCATGACTGTAAATCTGAAATGCAAGCAGGCACTTGTAGCTCAAACCTTTTGCTAACTTTTGCAAGTATGGCCCAAGCCATTCATTTTGCTAATGCATGACATTCAGAGAAGCAAAACAGGTCTACCAACGTTCCTTCAGTTATAACAGTATAAAGTGACCACAGGTAAGGGATTAGTTGGCTAAGAGCACAAAACAGAGCCAAGAGCTTAGGGTTTAAAGTTTGCAATGCAGTAGAAGCTGGAGTGAAAAAAGATTTGAGTGAAAAAAGACTGTGGCTAGGGACAGACATAGACCAGTGTAAGTGATCAGAAACTGGTTTAAACCTGTAACAGAACAGATGTTCAGTGCACATAAACCAGTTTGAGAATGGCTGAAACCGGTTTGAGATAAACCAGGTTGAATGTAGTATTGGACTTAACTGATTTGGCTCAAACTGGTTTATGTAATGTCTGTCTCAGCCCCCTTGCTGGTTTAAAATAAGCTAGACTCCCCCCAGCATCCCAGCATGCTTCCTGGGCTGGGAAGAGCTCTCTGCTCCACAGCAGGGCTGGCTCCTCCCCTCTGCTCCCTGGCTGCAGCTCCAGAGACTACGGGCTGCTTCCCCTCTCCCCTCATCACTCCCTGCTAAGCTGGAATTCCCCCTTCTCCTCTTCCTTGCTGAGAAGGTGCCTGTGTATTAGCTAGCAGACCACATGCTGGCTACGGTCCCTGCTGAATCAACAGGTAGAATAAATAGGTAGCTGGTAATGTCCTTCTGTTGTTTCCTTAATTGGGTGATAAACACTGTTATCAATTCCCTGCTGGGCTAATCAGAGCATCCTGCCAGGGACTGGCCATGCCCCCCTCAGCTCCATGCTGTGGAAGGAAAGGAGGGTTGTTCTAGTGCTCCCCGGCTTCTAGCCTGAGCCACTGTGGGTATGTGCCTGCATTTCTGGGATGTCTGTCCAGTTATACAACTGATTTAGCCTAGCCAGGTTAGACTAGCTGGCAAAGATTGAATCAATTCAGTTCTCAGGCTTTTTAAATGTCTGTCTCTAGCCTGTATGTTTGCAGTTTGTGCATTGTTTATATCAGTGGACCAGTACTCTTACATTTAGGAGTGCTTCTCCTTCATGAGTAGTTCCACTGATTTGCAAAATTAGGTATTTCTTAGTATGAACATACTTTGCCTCAGTAGGTCTGGGACACTAGGGGAAGGCTACAGCTGAATAAAACAATTATAAAAGTGGTCTCCAACCTTTTTTGGTCAGAGATCACTTTTGGAATTTAAAAGGAACCAAAGATGTATCCCGCTCTCTCCCTCTGCCCAGCAGCTAAGTCTGTGGGGAAAGGCGGAGGGAGGGGAAAGGGCCGTGGACGGGGGTGGGGATCGAGGCCCCAGCCCTAGCCCTACTCCCTTCCTCACCACTGGGGCCTTGATCTGCAACCCCAATGGCAGTGAGGAAGTAGGAGGCCCTCCACAGCCAGGGCGGGGGACAGAGCAACGAGCGACTCATCTAGAGGTTGTGGGGAAGATGGGGCACACAGCCTGGGAAGGCACGCCCAAATCTGCACGCAGAGCAGGGTGGGCTGGGGCCAGGCCACCAGCAGTGCTGGGCTGTTTCTGGACAAGCTGCATTCAGGCTGGGTGGCTGAAGCAATGCAGCTGGGAGCAGGGCCATGGGGGGGGGATAGCTCCCCCAACCCCACTCCCAGTGGCGCTACTGAGTGCAGTGCAGGTCAAGCCCAGTGGGAACAGCCCCAGCACAGCCTTCCAGCCCACAGCTGCAGTCCGCCCTCCCCCACACCCACCAGCCCCTGGTCCCCATTTCCTTGGGGGAGGAGGGGTAAGGGGAGGGGAAGACTGTGCCAAGCTGCTCCCTCTGGGCTTGGCCCACATTGTGCTTGGTGCTGGTGCTAAGAGCAGGGGTTGGAGGGGCTATGCCCCACTCACTCCCCTATGGCCCCGCTCCCAGTGCTGCCACCTTAGCCGCCCAGCCTGAGCACAGCCCTGCACTGCCACTGCCCTGGCCGCAGTCTGCCCTGCCCTGCCCCACATGCGGATGCGGGGGCACACGCCCCCCTGTGCCCTCCTGGGTGGTATGGCCCCCCCACTCCCTGTGGCCCCCATCCCTGAGCTGCTCATAGCTCTGTTTCCTGCCTCACCCTGGCTGCAGCTGCGGGCTGGGCTTCGCACCCTGAGCCCTGCTGCATATTCCCTACCGGGCCGCCCCTGCTGACTGACCTGCTAGGCTTTAGTGGGTGGCGCATGCGTGCGCTCAGCCCCCACAGCCCAGGATTGACTTCAGCAGGCTCCAGGATCCACCGGTCTATCCCAATCAACTGGTTGGTAACCACTGATTTATAGCATGACAAAGACAATGCTTGCTTTGTGGACAGAAAATGTGCCCTCATTCATCCTTCAGAGCAACACAGAGCTTTTGATTCTACTGTATACAACTTAGTAAACACAGTAAGCAGGTACGTCATGCTTTGGGTTTGTACAATAATAAAAATGGATGCACGTGCCAAGAGTGAAGCACAAGCTATCACACTTTTGCTTCATTTGCCTATGAGTTCAAGCTCACACTTAACTTGCGGGCTTCTGCTGACTTCGTGAATCATTAAAAAGTTTACCTGTAGCCTCAAACATTGAATTGGTCTCAACATTCAGCCACTGGTGATATCCACACTTATGGAGGAATAATAAACTGCACCAAAAAAAACCAAGAAAAAAGAAAAAAAAAAGAATGACTGGATCCACAGCAGAAATGGATCTGTGGGGAAAAAGGCAAATACTAATTGGTATACATGAATGGGAGACATATATGAAGTAAGATATATGAAGTAATCATTCTACTGTATTAGTGCTGGTACAGCCTCAGCTAGAGTATACTGTTTTGGGTACTACATTTGGAGGAAAATGTGGGACCCATTGGAGAGAGTCCAGAAAAACATGACCCATGAGGAAAGCTTGAGGAGTAGGGGGGCAGGGGAGGGGAGAAATAGATACATAATAACAATCTTGAAATATGTGAAGTTATTTCAGAGAGGAAAGTTATAAACCATTTTCCAAGTCCTCCAGGGATAGGACAAGAAGTAGTGTCCTTAAATTGCAATGAGGGTTAAGTTTGACATTAGGAAAAACTTCGTACTTGGAGGATAGTTAACTAGAAGAACAAGTTAGACTAACATCTATCAGGCATAGTTTAGGTGTAGCTGATCCTTCCCTGGGGCTGAAGGGTCAAGTAGATGACTATCTGAGGTCCCTTTTAGCCCTAATTTCTATGAGTCCTTGAATTTTGAGTACTCACATGTATCGGTTTCAATAGCCTCAGGTGTGGCCAGTTAGTTACATATGAGAGAGGCTTCACCTTTCCTTCAATTTTGCATGAAGGAGAAATAAACAAACCAGTTAGAAGATATTTTTAATTTATTTTGCATGACTTGCTGTTTCCTGTCCTGGGACACAGCAAGGCAGCTGCCAACATGCAGGTTTAAAAATGCTCCTTCTTTAAAAAAAAGCATTTGCAAGTTTGTTTAGTATTGATGTTACTGTGCTGCTAGTGATACTAGATCAGAACGTGGTGCTTACTTGAGGTTCAGAGGAAGGAGTACTGGCAGAATTTATGGTATATGATAGCTTACCACTTCCACACTTATAATCCTTCATGTACTAGATCAGAGTGGCTAACCTATGCCATATGTGCCACAGGTGGCATGGGCAGCCTGTGTGTGTGGTACGTGGCAGAGTGGGGAGGGGTCAGGCAGCACAGTGGCAGATAGGACAGGGAGCTGAAAGCAGAACATCAGATCAGGCAGGGAGCACAGGTAGGAGGCAGAAAGCAGAGCACCAGTTTGGTCAGGGAGAAGAAAGCTGAACAGCAGATCAGCTAAGGGAAAGGGAAGGGATAGAAGTGGCACTTGGGGAGGATGGCAGGGCTATTTGTGGCACACCTGCCAAAAAGGATGGCTGCCACTATAGTAGGTTATACAAACAGGCCCATTGATAGATCATTTCTCCTTCAAAAGAGTTCCACAATAGAAGACAAATGAGTCACGGGAGTTTTAGAGACTTTATTTATGTATAAACAATTTAAACACTTTGCCATAAATTATCTTTGCCTGTCTCTATTCTTTGCTTAGCAGCAAATTAAAATTAATATAAAAACTCAATGAACAATTCATACATGTATATTACAAAAAAGTTCTTGTACCAAAGTTCTTATTAGACTTGTTTTTTTTCTTTTGCGGTGACTGTAATGTGATTGTCTCAGTTTCTCGACCAAACAAACACACTAATAATTTTTAAATCTGAAACAGTGATTGTGCCTTCTGGCTGATGTATGTACAGGGTGATCTGAAGTGGTGCCCATTTGCAATAGTGTAACACAATGCCCACAGCTCTACTGGAACTGATACCAACAAACTACTGAATCTAAACAGACTACACCCTGTAACTGTGTTATACTGTCCACAATGGAATCTTCAAAGACAAACAGAGTATGAAATTTATTTGTAGTGATTTATAGCCACCATTTTGAATTCAACTTTACACTCTGCCCTCTTTGAATAAATTAAACTTCAGGCCAGACAAACGCAGGGTCTGAGTGCAAGTGCAGGTTTTTTATGTTTTAAATATATGTTTCTTTACTATTTCCAGTGCTCTCTCACTTGCGTTATCATTTCCCTCCAGTTGCTACACACAAATCACCCCAAAGTCATGTTTTAAATGCACCTGTATTTTGCTTTAAATGAAAACCTCTTGAATATTTATCAAACAAGCGGTCTGAATCTTTTTTTGTTTCATCAGCTGGTCTAGTGAAGGTGGCCCTCTTGGATTTCTTAAAGTTTGCTCACATGTGAATGGAGTGAGGTAATATAATATGAGGCCTTCTTTTTTATTTTTCTTTTTTTTTTCTTTAGACCCAGAACAAGTGGGTAATATTTTAGGGGTACTTTTTAATTTGTATGGTTAAAGTTTTCAGTCTGGCTTTAGTCCACTTCAGGAAGTGGTTTTTAATCACTTCAACAGTAGCATTTAACTCAAAAAATGTGAGCTTTCTTGCCACTTACTATCCCAAAGTAGCTCAGCCTAGTGCCCCTGTTTAGGTCTTCATCTCCTTAGGAGAGGAGATAACAGTTGTGACTACTGATTCATCCAGCAAAGGATGACAGCAGGTTAATTTGTTACCTCTTTCCCATTTCATTCTGTCTTAAAAACTGGATGTTGCTGCTACTGTCTGCTAGCTCTGGGTACTGCTCCACTGGAAGTACATAGTATCCCTCGTAACCTTGAACCCTTCCTGTGTTCAAAAGTTGCTGCTTCTCTCCATCCGTCCATAAGCGGCTGCCCTCTTTGCCATCCCGCACCTTCTGCTGTTCTTTGGCCCATGCTGATCCCAAGGCTCGCTGTCGAGCCTGGTCTAAAACTCTTGCCTTTTCTTCATCCAGTGTGTCAGGGGTCAGTCCATAGCGTATGTTAAGCAGTAGAGTAGAGTACTGGAATTCAATATTAGTAAACCTTCGAGTCCTTCCATTGATAAGGAGGGTTGGCTGGGAAACTGTAACGTTTACTCCACTATCCAGTACCTTCCGCCCACTGGTCATTGCCAGGGTGACGAGGTCACTGTCGGATGATCCAATCTTTACAAAGTAATGAGTATCCTTTCCCTCAGTGCTGTAGTGCATTTTTTCCAAGTAGTAAGCATTGTTAAGGACAGAGGCAATTTTTCTGCTGTCTTCTGTGGCTATGCTGGAAATGCCAGTGGTTACACGGCCTTCCTTTACAGCAAACATGATCCCTTTCCCAATAATGGGAGTGGTTGTGGCAAACCAGTGCCCTGCTTTCTCTCTAATGTTGGCATGTAATCGTTTAGAGATGACCTGTCCCTCCAGGGCCATAAATGCTTGATTGTGTCTTTCTGTTGTCTGCTGGACTCCAGTAATTAGCTGCAAGAATAAACAAAGAAGACAGAGACTGTTTGAAAATGTTGACTTCAAAGACCTGTTTTAAACCTTATTAAAAAGATGAGTGACAAAGTACTGTGAAAAACAGCAAGTTATATGAAGTGCTATTCACGCTGTTGCTTCCTGCCTACATACTGTACAAAGTCATATACTGTACAACTAAAGTGAACAGTGCATATACATATTATAGGATCAAAGACTTAAGAAGGAATAACTGCTAACAACTGATGTCAGAAGCTGGCCTAGTATTTATTTGCATAAGTAATTTCGAATATATTTTTGTCTCGTTTTGACAAAGTAATAAACATTAGTGGATAACAGTTTAATTGCAGTACCAAAAAACCCCCAAATGTCAAATAAATTTTAAAAAGTAACACTTTCTCCATATAACATTGGGAGTAAAGCTTTTTTAAACAGTACAGTCACTACAAACCAGTTTTATTGCTGTACACCAAAGGCGTAAGATTATGACCGTAGAGGTAGAACAGATGGTAAATTACACCTTGAGATTTCCCTTGCATGTTGATAGTCAAACAGGAACTCAAGTGCACATGAATGAAGAACTAATGATACTGTATTTCATTTCACTCTTAAAAAATATTCTTTTCTCTACCCTACTTACCTTAGACACTATAGAAACATAAGACTGGAAGGCACTTCCTAAGCCATTAAGTGCAATACCCTGCCACTTCAGGCACCGCATCCTATAATCCCCTTCCTAAACTTAACAAACTCCAACTTACAAATGTTTGTTTTTTGGCCAGTACAACTCCTATTGGGAGCCTGTACCAGAACCTCACTCTTCTGACAGTTAGGGATTTCTTTTACTTTCTAACTTAAATATATTCTGGGCCAGTATATACATATTTACTCAGTGTCCTTTAGCTTGAATAATTCTTCTCCCTCTTTGGTGCTACTCCTCCCCTTGATGTATTTCTTTTTTTCATGGAATGATGCCCGTATGCAAGGTAAGATTGGCAAAATCACTGTAAGCCCAGCACAAACTGGTGCCTACCTGTCCATTTTCACATGCTTGACTCTCTGACAATTCATATGGAGGAGGTACAAAGTACATTTTTGCTCTAGGGAAACCAGGAATAATGTTGCTGAGCTGAAATCCAAACATCACCAGCCAGCTTTTCACATCTAAAAATAAAAAAATAAACGAGTGAGTGAGAAAGAGATGTGTATCTCAGGGATGCTACAGTTAAAATTATGAGCTTAGAGTTTGAACTCAGAATTTTTAATTTTTTTTTATTTGCCAGTTCCCAGAACCATACTGTTCCACAGTGAGCTGTTACAAGAATGACTACTGTAAATTCATAGAAATTGCTGACTAGTGAGATATGAGGTCTCCAGTAAACCCAATATCTCTGAATCCTTTACCAGTAAACATTTTCTGTACTGTTCCTCATGTCTGTCACCTCCTGCAACTACACTGGATGTGACACACTTCCCATTTACTGTTTTGAAGAACACTTGGAAAATTCCTCTTGTGTACAGTCTGGTTTTCCTCTTAGACCCCACTCCTGCAAGATGTAAATGTTTAACTCTGGACACTAGCAATAGCTGAATTCAAGTCAACAGTGTAAAATGAAGCACCTGTTTAAGTCTTTGTAGGATCAAGACCTTATTTGAGTTTCTCACTGCAAGTCTTTTGCATATGTGCTCCAGTTTGAGCTTTGTGATGTTCTGTGCGTTGGTTCTGAACGAGGCAGCTCTGGCTAATCCTGACTACTAGATTTGCTTTAGAAAGAGCAAAGTATTTTCAGAAACCAGTTTCAGCTTTCACTTTCTAGTTTTGAAGAGGAACACATTTATAGTTATTCACATTTAAAAAATAATAATGTTTATGGAAAACTTCAGTTTTCTGTCCCTCTTTCTCCTGAAAAATGAGACTGTGAGGGAGAATGAATGCTTTTTTACTTTCTTAAAAAAAAAGTGTGTGTGATGTTTAAGACTGTGCTGAGCTGCTGAAGAGTTCATTGTAGTGGAATTTTTTAACATTTTAGCGATTCTTTTGTCCTCCTTGAAAAATTCATTACAGATTCTACCCCCATTATCTTAAAGATAATTGTACAAATCTCCCATTATATTATACCTAATTTATTTTTTCCCTATGGCTATCCATAAAGTAGGACTCTTAGTCCTTTCTATGGTTTCAGTTTATTTCATTCGGTACAACATTACCTGCCAAAGAATTTACTTTAATTTTTCTCATCTAGCAATAAAAAGGAATCTCCCTCCACACACATTATAATAGTTCATTATTTTTCTTTTCTAATGTTCTTTATAATATGTCATTACACAGCTGGAGGAATCCTCTCCTTTAGCAAAAACTGTCAACAAATGAGCAGTTGACTGTAAATATGCATATAAAGGGCTGTGCATAAAGGAGGTTGTGTTCATTACTCATTTATGAAAATTAAGCTATTTATATAATGACTTCTTGTCCAAAGACTTGTAGAAGCCCATGAGAGCAGCAAGTATCTTCATCACCATTATTATAGTATTATGGTGAAATGCATGATATAGAAGCAATTAATGTATCTTTCCTGAATTTCTTTTGTGGATGCATGAATGAAAATGATATAACATCTGAATGTAATAAAATCTCTTAAGATGAGACAGGGCACACTGGGCCAATGCTATTGTACTTGTCAGGTGCCTAAGCAATATGCGATTCCATCCTGTTCAAGTCCTGAAAAATAGCTAATGTGACTAGTAATGTGACTCCACCATCTTAGCTTTAAGACTATGTCACACAAAGCAGTGAGCAGGAGGGGGTCTATCTTCTGCATTAGCATTTTTTTAGTAACTCAAACAGGGTGAAATAAGCAAACAGGGTGTGGACACATGTAACGAACTGTTCCCAAATGCCACTGACTGGGATCTAATTTACAGTTGTTATGGGTCAGAGGGGTCCACAGATACAGTGCCCTAATGTTCCAAGTAGAACAATCACCTTTCATGAGTTGAAGTGCTGTGTCTCTGACACCAGGGGATGGGAGTGAGCACTCTGCCTTATGGTGGATGGGAGGTGAGGGGTGGGTAGAAGAAATGCATGAATTCATGTTTTGGGGTCACAGGGGAGGGTGACTTATGACTAGGGGTGTTTTCACTTTTCTGCTTTCCTTTCTCTCAACATGAAAGTTCAGTAGCCTGCACCTGACCGAACTCTGCAGCGGGTTTGCCTGACTTGGTGTGGCTGGGTGTTGGGGAACAGTGGACAGATTACTTGCGTCTCCAAGGGCTGTTGAGTAGGGAGTGAGGACACAGCTGGTTGTGAGAAAGACAGTGTTTATTGAAGAAGCAAATGCAAGGGAGCCCATTGATAAAAAGTGCTGACAAACCAGGAGACAAAAAGGGGCGCTGGAGTTCTGGTCAGGCACCAGAGAGGCCACTTGCGGCAGAGTTGCGGGGGTGGTGAGGAACAGTACAATGTGGGATATCTGAAGGACTAACCAGACTTGTGTCTTGGAACATGGGACGCAGACAGAAGTGACAAGTATGCTTGGCCACCTGAAAGTGCTCTACAGTCATGCCAAGACACATGTGTGGTTGCAGAGTGCTTTAAACGTGGTTGATTGCATGGTACAATTAACTCTCATGAGGGTTTAGATGAAGGCGCTTCAAAGTGAAATGCCTTAGGGAACTTCTGTTCCCTAGGGTCAGTCTGTCAGAATGATTAGGGTTGCACTGATGCAGCCCAGCCCCGTTCCTGGTGCTGTCTATGGGAAGGGATGGGGGAGAAGGGACAGGAGGGAGCTGTGGGCTGGGGTTTTCCTAACATAAGCTGGAGTGGGGATGGGTGAATTGGAGGGCCCCATCTCACAGCCCCCCTTCAGTCCCCTCCCCCTGCAGCTCAGGTCGGGCAAACCACAGCCCACAGCTCCCTTCCCTCCCTTCTCCCCCATCCCTTCCTGCAGACAGCACTGCAGCTGGAGGGATAGCGGGGAGGGGAGTTAGAGGAGAAAGTCTGCATGCAGGCTCCTCTGCTGGATCAGTTCCAAAGTGGAGATTGATTCTCTCCCTCCCCACCAAATAGATGGATGTCTGTTGGGTCGGGGGTGGGGGGAGTCACTCTAACTCATGGTACTTTGTGTTAAGTACCATGAGTTAGAGCAGGGACCTGCATGTCTGTCAGTGAGCAGGTCTGCTGAGAACTAAGTTTAGATCAGATGCACCATTTTTAGGACTACCTCAGCTCAGTGAAAACTTGTACGCTGGGGCATTTAGATTGCCCTAGTGTGATTAGGCGGATCTAAGTGTAACACTTGTACATATGCAAAGGCACTTGAAGCTCTTCAAATATTAACTCTGTCCAGGGTCCCAGAGTATTCACCCTGCAAATAAGCTGTAGGGCCTAAGGAATGCTATGCCTATAGTGTAGTTGCATTCAGAAACAACTACCAACATCCTAATATTGCTTTCCTTTAAAAAAAAAATCACATTTCACTTGAAGTTCTAACTGCCACTAAAATTATGGCAACTCTTTGATTATTTGTTAAATGATACCTCTGCTTTAATTACCAGGTGTTAGAGATTTAACTTCGAAAGAGTTTCTCCTGAACATATCTTAATTACCTTTCATTTTAAAATATGTGTTAGCAGCTACTTCAAGTTCTATGTGATTTTTACTAAGTGCCAAATTAGTACTAATTAAGAGGAGGTTACAAGTTTAACCCAATCCTGATATATGTTTAATCTAAACGAAAATTATTGTTTTTTGCATTGCAACGCTACAGATGTTCCCCAAAAGTTCTCAGTTTTCCAAGGGGAAACATTATTTTAAACAAGTTTCTATTTTTAAAGCAGTACCAAAGGACACTGTTTGATATGAAAGCTTGAATGGGGGAGCAGTGGTTTAAAAGAATGCTAGTGTACAACCAGAGCCAGAGCCAGAGCCATATTTAAATTTATCATATAATTTTGAGATAATGTTGGATGGACAGGGAGTCAAGAGACTTGCATCCTAATTCCTGCCACTCTCCTGTTGGGTGACTCTGGCAAATCACTTTCCCTCTTTTCTTTGGTTTCCTCATTTGTAAAACAGAGATAATTGAACTTTTCTTTGGGCAGGAGTTTGAGACATATATGACAAGTACTATATAAATGCTAAGAATTATTATTAGTTGGAAGTGATTTCTTCTTTACTTCACAACCAAGTGTGTTCTCCCTTTCATGGACTCTTATTTTGGGGGCATTGCATAAGAAACAAGTATTAGGGATCAAGATCGTGCAGCCCTTTTCATCTTGTCTAAAGGGAAAGTGGTTCTACCTTAATGAGAGAAGGGCTCTGCAGGTGATAGGGACACAAGGGAGGGGGGTCCTAAGATGGAGAAATCTGATCAATTTCCTTTTCCAACACAAACTTCCAAGCATAAAGAAATTTAGTTTAAATATATAAACAAAGAACTGATATGGAGTTCTCACCTGTTACATAATTCTTTAAATCCAATTCATTGCTGAGAGGGTTGTTGCTCTTGAACATGTACAAGTTGAACGGAGCAGGCTCCTTACCGATGTTTTTCCACATTGTGTAATCAGGAGATGTCCAGCGCCCAGCCAGAACGTCATAGTCTCTCTGAGTAAAATGGACCAGTTTTGTCAGAGGGTCATATAATCCTCCATGAAATCCAATAACTAATTGGAAGTCAGGGTTGGAATCATAATATATTTCTCCATATGCAGTATACTGAAGTTGCTTGATCATGAGGCCATTGATACTAAATACTGCCAAGGGTGTTCCTGTGTTATCAGAGGCGACATAGTATTCTTCTCCACTGCTGCTTTCCATTGCAAAGAGATGGCCTTGTAAATCATAGTATAAAGAGGTAATCTCTGAATTGGAATGGTTATAGATGTGTGTTACTCTTGTTGGGTTGTGAAGATCAGCATAAAAGTACTGAAGATGGTGCCCCAGGTTAGTTTTACAAGAAGCCCTTCGCCCCAGTCCATCATAACGGTACTGAACACTCCATCCACTTGCTTTGTTGTAAGCTCTTGTTAAGAGACCTTTGGAATTGTATTCAAATATATCTGAGCCTCGCTGGCACAAGAATCCATCATCATCAATTTTGTATGGCATGTCACCCAGACGTGTAATCCTGTCTCTAAGATCATACCGTAGAGGCATCAATCGGACACTATTTCCTGGATTCAAGAGATGAAGATTCCCATTAAGATCATAACTATAACGCCAGGTTGGCCTGTCATTTACCGCCACACTTTGGAGCTGCCCATCTCCATCGTAATCATAGGTATATTTAGTTGTGTTGGCATAAGGTCCAAGTTTCAGTTCTCTCTTAGTCACTCTTCCCATGCTATCATACTGGACTGTCATCCAGTACATGAGTGATCTGAACATTTCATACTGAACCTCTTTAATGCGTCCATGGGTATCAAAGTGTTTACTCAGTGTCATCACTGCGGTAGTAATGATTTGATTTATATCATAATAGATGACTCCAAATTTGCCAAAATGCTCTACTTTTCCAGAGATTTCATCATAACGGTAAAGATCAACTGGAAGAGGTGTCTCACTTATTATAGGCTTGATGCTAGCAATTCGAAAGCTATTATCATGATAGGTATAATCAAACCTCGCATTGACCATGCCTTCTTCAGAGAACCTATAGATTTGTTTGTCAACCAGTGGACCAATTTTACGGTATCGAATTGTGCATGAAAACCCACCACTCTGTAAGTTCACCATTTTCAGGACTCCAGTAGTTTCATCATATCCAAAAGTAACTGCAGTACTGTCATAAACAATTTCAGACAACTTGGATAGTTTTCCATACTTGTAGAACACTTGTCGCCCAGTTCCTAAAAATGATGTTTTCAGAATCCTGCCATCATCACTGTAATCAAAAATCACTGAAGCATTGCTTTCAGGAGGATTATAAATATTCCTAATGTAGCCAATAGATGTATGAGTAGACATGCTGTGTCGAGCAACACTAGGCATGGTAACAGCGTGGAGCCGGTCTGAGGAATCATACTCAAAGATGTACTGCCGCTGGCTCTGAAGTAGTAGTACCATAGACTATTAAAAAAAAGATAATGATTATTTAATTTCACTATTTCTCACTTTCTTTTACTTGTAAACTTATCAGGGAAAATATTTTTAGATTAAACATTACCCAGCAGGTTTTAGTGTTACAACAATACAAAAGCCATACTTAAATCTCAGGTTACAGTGCTGACCCACAGTATGAATATACTGCCAACAAGTCTGAGAAGTAAATTTGTCACTTTGAAAAAGGTTATCAACCCCAGCTGCATCTATACAAGACATTGCCTGTGTAGTGGCCCGAGACTACTGCACAGTAGTGTCGCCTGGCAGAAACCGTGATGTGATGCTACTGCACATTAGTCTTAGGCTGCTGAGCAGCCATTGTCATAAAAAAGCCGTTCATCATCGCTACTGTGCAGTAATGTGGGTTACTGCGCAGTAATGACTGCTGAATCAGTCTCTTGTGTAGACATGGCTCCTGAGAAGGAAATACAAGGAGCTGAAGCACATTGTATCAGCATCTTGGGTCTCTTAGTACTTTCTGTGGGAAGTGAGACTAATGTGTTAATTTATATCTCCTCTGGCAGTTGTAATTCACACTGATTGCTATAATACATAAGTAGAAAAGTTAGCATAAAGAACAGCTCTAGCATACTTAAACAATAGTGTGGAGGAGGGAACATGACATGCAGTGTTTTTAAGTATTAGACAAACTTCCAAGATCAAAGTGTCTTAAACTAGGCTAACTAGAGATGAATTACCATATTTTCACTTAATAAATAATGATTACAGATAAGTTATCTGCTGCTACTGGCTATTCTGCCAGGTTTAGTCATGCATTTTCAGTCTTAAAATAGTAAAATTTATCCTGTTAGTTTATGCTATTATGTGGTGAGCTATTCTGTTTTATGGAAATATTGGAGGAGCTGAACCACGAAGAAAGTATGTCCTTTGATTAATTGAAAAACTAGAAGATTCACAGATTAGGTACAAAAGAATTCTTAACTATTGGAACACCAAGGTTTCTAGATTAATTTTGTGGATGAAGGCCAGAAACAACATGTAATTGAACAGTCTCTTTGTAGTGAATGTTGTAGTTTAAATTGAGTCACCTACTTTTTCCAGGTATGTATAACTCCACACTTTCCCATCAGCAAACATGCGGGATATAATCCTGCCTTGTTTATCTATATCTGTTCTTTCACTCATGGCACCACGCTGAAGTCCAGCCAATCGTCCATTGAAGAAATAAGAGACGTTCACAGCAGCCAGCCCACTGCTGGGTAGCCAAAGAAAAGGACGTCCTAACTGATCATAAATTATCCGCAATGTAAATTTTCTGTGATCATCATATATTTTTTCTGTGCGTATATTCCGGTCATAATCAATGGACAACAGGTTCCTTCCATGGACCTATTCAAATAGAAATAGGCTGTATTCAGTGATCAGTAAGCACTAACCCATTGTGCTAATGTCTACATTGAAAATAATAAGTATGAAAATAAAATGTTCCAAAACTTACTAAAATTTGCAGGATTTGTAATGGCTTCATTTTCACAATTGTTCCCTATCCCTAAGATTTAGATGTTTTCCAAAGGTTTTATTGAGACATTTGCAACATCCATGCAGCTTGGCTTAGCTGTAGTCCCCAGGAGAAAGCCCTAGGCTTGTCACGCTTGACAGCTATACTGTCACCTACTACTCAAAATATAGGCTGCTAGCATTTAGCAGCTAACCACTGAACATGCTCAGAGGTCATTTTCCTACTGCTAACACCAGTCATTCTCAACCTTTCCTTATTACAACCCTAAGTTATGATATAAAAAATAATTTTCATCTTTATATCCAGCTTTTGGCTGTGAACAGACATCATATTTGTCTTGGGATAAACCATGTTATCCTGGGACAAAGTGCAGCTATACAGACATTATGTCCATTGTCCTAGGATAAAACCTAAAAAACATTTCCTGGATAAGACATAATAACAGTTTACCCTGGGATATTGCCAAGCATGTCTGTATAGGTAGCCCAGGATTGCATCATTGAATCAAGGACAGAAAATTCTGGGATACCTGTACTGAATTCAGCAACTCACTAAAACCTGATTAGAAGGGTGATGTGTGTACACGCCAATCCTGGGAATACTTTTGTTCCCAGACAAACAGAAGCACAACTTATCCAGGGATAAATACAACATCTGTTTCTAACCATAAAGAAAGATTTGCTGGATGACTCTGGGGGTTGAACCCCCCAGGTTGGGAACTCCTGGCTTCAATACTTCCTTAATTATTTCCTCCATGATCAACTCAGAGGCTTTTTTCCTTACAGGCTCAACACATGCACTATTTTGCAAGTTCATTCCTTTTTTGAGCCTTTGAGCTCTGATCCTAGACTGTACTGCTGAGCAAACTGGACTCCCAGCATCTTGCAAATGTGACTCCCTAGTAAGCAAAAAAGCACAGACCAACTGCAGACGCTTCTTCAGCCTGATGTTTGGACCCAAAAGCTTGTTAAGAAGAATTTTTCCAACTATTTTAGTTTGTCGAATAAAAGATATTGGATTTACACAAAAAACCTTGGTTACAAGAAAAGTTTAAAAAACTTCTTTAGATTGGGTAAATGTATTTCACTTTCCTGCTTTGTTCAATTAAACTTTTCAAAACCAAAGTACAGTATGAAAACTTTCAAATCCACAAGAGACTTTTTTGAAACTTGTAAGCAAAACAGGACCAAGGGGTTATAGATATGGCATACATAACCTTAACTATAGTGTTTTCTGCTACAAATTCCATAATGAGCGAGATAAATATTTTCACTGGAGGCTGAGCCAAAGATCCAGGCCAATGCTATAATCTAATAAAGCTTCTTAACTAATTTAATTGTAAATGCACCATTAATAAAGAAGAAGTCTTTAAATAGATATCTTTTGACAGCAGTGACTACTTAAGAAATATTCGTCAGTTCCTGGGAATTTGTGCTTCAGCTTTATAGTAGCTTTGATTAAGCAACATTTTTTCTTATCCAAACTTAAATTGCACATCAAACAATATGTAAATTAACCCTGAGCCATCCTAGAGGACATAAAAGTTATTCTGAGTTATTTTCACTGACAGGGTAAGCCCAATTCCCATCCCAACCCTACTGAATTCCTCTGTAGGAATTCAGCTATACAGAAAGCAATTTTAAAATTAATATGATTTTGTGTTCATAAAGAAATAATTATTTTTAATTATCGTTCGTTTTCCTCAGTCTGATTTCCTCCCGTTAGTAAAATTCTTTAACACTATTTTCATTTCCTCAGTGGGTAACTCTTAGAAAGAGCTCTTCATGTGGGATTTCCTAGAGAAGGTTTTGATATTGCCAAATAGATTGGTTCCGATACAGAGAGGGGTGTGTGTGTGTGTTTAATACACTGGAAGTGCTCAACTATCCCATTTGTTATTCAAGGATCTAATGGGAAAGGAGACTTGGAAGCAAAACTCAAGCTAGTGGGCACACTTTCAGAGGTGTGTGCATAAAATTGGTGTGAATGTCAGTTGTGTATGGAAATCCCTTGCTTTGTAAAGATCTGCTGGGAAGCATAAGATAGCTTTCACTACCCAGATATTAATGTATCAGAGACAACTGACATAAAATTAAAGGGAAATTTCTCTAGTGTATTTCTGAACTCTCATAAAAATCTCAGAATATCCATATTTTGAAGAAGAAAAGTCCCTTCTCAAATAAGCTCAGTGAATATATTACCAGCTTTCCTATGTGAGCATTACAAGGCATTTTAAGTTAATTATTATATAATTAGAGAGCCTTAAATAAAATTTCCAGGTTTTAGGCCTCATCTCCTCTGGACCTCTAGTTCTTTGGATTTTCTCCTGCACTGCATCATGACTTTGTAACAGTAAATAATGACATTCTGCTTTAATACATAATTGGAAAAACACAGAAGAGCAATAAAACCAGGTTTGGGAGCACTACGAAGTTGCTTTCTGAACCTCTGGAGATGCTAATCTAGTGTCACAGCCCAGTAACAAAAGCGTTCCTGCATTGTTTCTTCCTCTGGGATGGATGGCATGTGGGTTCTTCCACCTTGGGTAATTTTTGCAGGCAGTGAGTGAATAGGAACTAAAAGTCTGAAAATCCAGCTCTCTTATATGAATTTTACATCCTTTACATTTTTTTTAACCTCATAACAGATAATCTTTGTCTGAAAATCTGAGTTGAAACGTTCTCTCTTTTTTCACAAAAAGAAACTGAATATGTTTCATGAAGGTTAATAGGTTTTCTGTCATAGTGAAGTGAAGCACTAGCTTTCTGAAATCATTACACAGAAGAATAGTTACGCACACATAAACATTACTCAGAGAATAAAGCAGCACCTGCTTTGATAACTCAGTAACTTGGTTTTCATTTGTAAAATACGCAACACCACAGAGTATAATTGCAATGTCATATTAATTATATAGAAACCCAAACAAATGACTAACTCCTACTTCTTTTGGGAACACTAATAACACTATTACAAATATCATGACTGAAGATTATCCAGCAAGCTATTTTTCTTTTGTTCTGCTACCTACACGCACATCTGTTTCTTCCTTTTGCTGTTGCTGTGTAAGTCACAATAGGGAAGAGTCCTTCTAGAATCTGGTTAATGGCTCTTCCAACAAAAATTACTTAAGTATGTAAAAAATCCCTGGAGTGGAACCTCCCATAGGGCTCTGTATTACACCTCCTGCATGACATTCAACATACTCTTGATAATGAAATAGTAGACAATAAAGTGGTTAATGTAAAGGTAAAGAATAAGTCTTTGCTTCATTATGGCTTTCTGGAAGTGTATGCATATCCAAATAAAGATGTGTTTATAGGAAGAGCTGGGACAGGTAACAACAATGATGTAGATATGGGCATCAGCATTGACTGATTCTCACCAGAAAACAAGGGACCCCTTGGTATGTAATCTGGTTGCTAGCCCAACGGCTGTGTCTTCATTGCTTTTGTTACCTGTGCTACCCATCTTAAAGTTAGCACAGGCATTCAGATCTGTGTTACAATTACATCTTCAGTTTGCTAGGTAGACATAAACTTGGAGTCGGCCTCATGTTGAGGGGCCAGGTTCCCTAGTTTCAGCTGAGGTTTATGCTGTCATAGGCAGGAGATATAATGCCTTCACATCCACTGTATAGCCTTTCAGATACACTTATCTCAGCTGTGAGTAGGTGCCTAGATGAGCTCTACACTTGGGACCCTTTCCCCCACCAAAATTCTCCCTGCCATCACTACTAGCAGTCCCATCTCTCTTGCCCTTAGGGAGCTCAGGCAGCTGTATTATGGTTGATACACATGTAGGAGGCTTAGCTTGAAATTAAGTGCTGAAAACTCATAAATCACGTTCAAATGATTTGATGAGCAGGGTAAACTACAAGGATAAAGAACTGCTAATGGTACACTGTTGTACTGGACAAGACGCCTGGGATGAAGTATAGAATTACTAATATGCAACCATACAGCTGATGGGATATACTGCAAGGGGTTATTTGTGTGTTAAACAGCGGGAGGTTGCTGTCCAGAAGAAAACAAATGAGCTTGTTATCAGAGTCCTGCTAGCACATAATACTCAAATAATCTTTTTATGTTGGTTTTTGTACTGGTACCCCTCACCACACAGTACCCGAGTTCCAGTCATCAAGAACTGACTGTATCAGACTCCTCTTTCACTTTAGATTGTTTTCTTGCCCTAGTTGCTGCTCATATTTACATAAGAAATTTCAAGTGGGAGACATAATACTAAAAACGGTATTTTCCCTTAAGACATTAATCCCATACAAGGGCAGGCTCTTGCACTAGAGCCTTCCACTTCCCTCTTGTTCTGGGTCTTGGTCCCAATTTTAGGCCTCACTGTGGAGGTACGTGTGTGTTCAGATTGGTTTTAAATACCCACTAGAGTCTACAGGTTCCTGGTTTTTCTCCCGTTGCTACTGTTATATCCCACATTACTGCATCCTTCTGCCTAGCCTGCTTTCCAGGTGCTTCCTCACAATTTTCCAATACAATTATTTTATTTTATTCACTAAACAGTTTACAAAGATAAATTAAAATAAATGAGATGCAAATAAATTCTATGCTTTCTCCCTCATTTTCAAATTGCATTTTCAGTCCACTCAACCTATTATAATCTCATGGTGATTTTCATTTAACAGAGCTAAATGGATATGTGATTATTGTTACAGGAACTAACAGCAGACAATTAAATGTTGAGGTGTTGATAGATAAAGCTGTGTTTTGATTTGCATAAACATGATGCTAGAGAATCTAACTCTGGAAAGGTTTCAGTTTTAAGACTTGTGCATTTAGCTAATTACCACAAGTACCTCCATTAAGTTTTTAATTTTTAGAGTAAGGATTATAGCCACTTTATTTTAGGGCCTCATTTATTTTTGTTTTGAAGACCTAGTCAACATGCAGAGCTGATTTATCTTAATAATCAACTTCTGGAGTACAGCATATCAAAAATCAATTATACAGCCCTGAAATCCAGTCATTAAGACTTTAGCTGCTAATCTCATTCCTTTTTTAAAAATTTGTCTTCTACAAGAAAATTACAAGAGCATGCGACTCTGAAGGAATGGGCAGTAGTATAAGGAAAACAGGAAAGACGATTGATAAGTCAGCACTGAGAATTAGCTAACCACTGGACAACAGAAAACTATTAAAATGTTAACATCCTATATTGCACCTGCAAATTACTAAGCACTTAATTTAACACAGAATATCTAATTTTAACACCACCTCCCTATGCCTATAAAGCCTGATCCAATACCTAATCACATCAACAGAAAATTTTAAATTGACTTGAATAGGCTTTGAATTAGGGTCATGGCTTTTTTCACCCCATTAGTCCTAAATCCTTTCCAGTCTGTGCATCCTGGGGCCACTTCATCCACCTCTGAAACTCTGGGCACCTTAGGGGGATGGGGATGAAAAAATGATCATTGTTTTATATAATTAGGCAATTCTGGAAAAGAAATAAAAACAATACCTGTCTCATAGAAATGGTTACTGGAATTTAGGTGAAGTAGAATGCAGTTAGGCAAACAAGGATTCTGTTTGGCTCATGGGACTAATTCTTCTGCAGAATGGTATGTACTGCAAGAGACCCCCAAAGGTCAGGACATCAATCTTCCTGTTAGAAAGCCTACATTTTCACAAGTGCTGTGGGGTCCTAGCACTGTACTAGGCATTTTTACCATCCTCTTCTAATGACAGAACTTCCACAGCCAGTAACAGCTGACTATCCTCATATTTAATTTGCATCTAACTCACTTCCAATCTATGAATCAAAATGGAATAAAATACCCTTCCATATGGAAAAGAGTCTGTATAGAGGAGAAAACATTATTTTGTAATGACACTTACCCTGAGCTTTCTTCCAAACACAGTCACTTTGCCTTTAATCTGTTCTTTTCTTAGTCGCCATTCAATTGAGTTTAAGCCATTTTCCATTGGTAGGGAAATATTACACCGTCCTATGGTGGGGGTTACAGTGCCGGTCAGGACATGAGGTTCACTGTGGAAGCTAATGCTCATTCCATTGGCATACATCACTCTCAAAGTGCCATTATTACAGAGCTGGTAGCTATTCCTCACTTGATCTGGAGAGAAGAAAATTATGTAGCTACTTCAGTCATAAAAAGAACACCTCACCTAATTTGATAGGTTTTCATGGCACTTCCGTTGATGTCAAGTGAAGTCTGCTTGCAATTACCACTTACATGGTGATACAGTGGAAATTACCATTGCTATTGATTTATGTAAAGAACAACCATATTAATACTGTGAGCCTGCAGAAAAAACATCCCACTATATTTTCCCTTTACTGTTAATTATAAATCAAAATGTATATTGATGTCTTTCACAGCATAATTTATGTGAATGCATTTTTAAACTCAGCAAAACTCAGAGGAAAAATGATTTTAATTCAACTACTGGATCTACCACAAACCTATTAAATTTTGGGTTATAAAAAGTTTCTGTTGGAAATTTTGTCAGGAATGAGAAAGTAAGCCCCTCTTCTTTTTCTTTCTCTGTTTAAAAACTGCCCTCCCAGCAGACACATGGCAGGGTATTATAGATTAGCTTTAAATCCTAAACGTGCGATGCTCCAACAATACAGGCTGGCAGCAACAACCCTTTGTGTGCATGTCATTCTTCAATCTACTACAAAAGAGCTGTGCTAGCCAATCAGATGCCTGGCCTTTTTGCTTACTGATAAAAGTTATAAAAATAAACCTGTACTTTTATGGTCATGTTATTCTCTGCCTGGTTGACACCAGTGAGGTCCCTTCTGAAAGGCAATTGAAACAGAGGTTTTCAATACCTGTATAGTGTGCAGCTGCCATCTGAGCATCAATGCCCATCTGACAAAAGGATAACATCTACATAATTAATCATGTGGTATAACTGGAATAGAGTCATTGGAAAAGGATGCATCACAGGATAATAGTCTATAAATGTTGACATTTCTGTCAGAAGAAGACTATTGTCCTACAACAATGTTCTGATGCCAGTGACATTATCTCTTAATTAAAAAAACATCACCCACAGAATTCTTTTCAATCTATATTTGGTAACTATGACTTTATATCACACTACAATATTTGGTCCACATCAGGAAGTTGCACCTAAAGGAGTGTTTATCTTCTTAATTGCTAATCTCTGGGACTGTACTGTGCCTTTGTTATCTGAAGTGCTGATGGGCAATGAAATCACATAGTAAACTACCTATTTGTCACTGCAGCATGAAAGGCCCTGATTCTGATTTTACTAAAATGAGTAGATCCAATCAGTTGAAAGAACTTGCATAAATATTGGTGTAGGGCTGGGAGCTGACCTCACTTAAGCTCATCATAGCAAAAACCAGCTGCTCTTCTGGGATTTTACACAGAGTGAGCTAACTTTTCCCAACCAAACCTCACTGTTTTTGGCAGTGAAGATATAGCCAATGTTGCATTGAAAGCATGTGAAGCAAACTTGATATAAATGCATCAGCAGAACCAATGTTCTCCAGCAGGTACTGATTAAACTAAATTAGACAGCACTTCCTTCTGCTTGCCCTGAAGATCTGCAAGTTTAATAGTGTGCTTATGGGAGTCATTCTTTCTTGCCGAAAAATTTTGTGTTTTTACCAGTTCAGAAGTGTTCAGACCTTTTCAGAAGCTCAAATGATTATTCTGAATGGCTACTCTGAATTCTTACGAGGATACTGGGTGTCTATGTATGATATGCTGAACAGTATATGTCTGTACCTTGAACTACTGTGTAGGAAGCCTCCACTGAGGAAAGATTGGTAATGACTGTAACATCATCATCTCGATTGGAATTCTCAATATCTATGGTGATAGACTTTTCCATTTCACGGTGAAGGCTGGTAACCACTCCAGTGGGGCGTGTTACATTGGTTAGTCGTCCTTCGTGGTCATAGCTAATGGAGAAAGTTATGAGAGCAAAATGAGTATGCATATATACCTGACTTTTCTCTATATGATACATTAACATGGACCACATTCTTGCTAAAATTAGCATGAAACAGAGTCTTCAAGAGCATTATGATTATGTTTATCATGCTGTATCTTAAAACTGGCAATGTTTATGAATTCATATTTTTCTAGAGAAAAAACAAAGTCAATCCAGAGAAACTCCTTTTAAAATCAATTGCATTATTTTAGACTGTCACTGGGTGCATTTACATGAGACACTGACTGTGCAGTAGCAGTAAAATACTGTGCAGTAGCATGTCACAGCATGGATAGTGCTCCTATATACACTACTGAGCAGCAGCATTACCTAAAAGACATTTGTCGACACTACTGCACAGTAACTTAAGTTTCTGTGCATTTATTTAGTACGTGCTAATACAAGTACTAAATAGATGTGCGGTAGCAACTGTGCAGTTGCATCTCATTTAGACATGCCCAATGAGAACAGTATTTGGCCTACAGAGTTATCTGTAATGAACAAATGCTTATTTTGATATTTATACGTCATTACAACTGGATTAAGGTAAGTGGAGTCATAGCTCATTGTTCACCAAACAATTATACCCAGAGACTTTATAGCCAGTGAAAACTACTGAGTTTTGGGTGACATGAAGATGAACCTGCATTTAAAGTTTAACAGAAAGAAATCTATTTCAGAATGTGATTTCTGTGTGGTCAGTCTTGCATTTTGTATCAAACTTGTGTTCATGAAAATAACAGATTAATAGCACTGTGGAGAGCCAAGTTACAGTGTAGGCTGGTGTTACGCAAGAGGCAGGACACAGCTCAGAAAAATGTTTCTTCATTATCATAGAATCATAAAAAAACAGGGATGGGAAGGACCTGAGGGCATCTAGTCAGAGAATCATTTAAATAATGATTTAGATGATTGTCCAGCCCTAATGTCTATGAAATCTATAAAATCTAAACCAGAAGTTGGCAACCTTTTCAGGTGGCAGGAAGGAATGATGCAAAGGTTGATGAGTGGGCAGGAGGGTGCCAGGCCACTGCTGTCACCACTTTATCTTGGCACAGCACAAGGAGGGAAGTGCTTGGCACAATCACTTCTCTGTGCTGTGGCACAGGAAATGCCCACTGCCAAATGCTTCTGAAGCCCCACATCTGCAGACTGGATCCAGCCCATGGAGGATAGATTGCTAACTCCTGATCTAAACCTTCTCATCCAAATAGCTGTCCATCTTGCAAACTTCAAATGATGGAGATTCTGCAGTAGTATTTAACCACCTTCACAGTTAGCGAGTGGTTTTTATACGTCTCTTCTTGTTTATTCTGTCCTCTTCAGATACAAAGTAGTCTATCATCATCCTCTCTATTACAACGCAGCCTGGCCAGGTATTCCCAAGCAGGGGTTACTTGTGCCCCTGCAGTGACCAGTCAGCAACCAAGGAAGAATCCCTCTGTGACCAATCTTGCTGACCGAGGAAGGAGAGGTGTGCCCCTGTGGCTGATTGCGAAGCGGCCATGGCACTCCTGGAAGCAGCCGCAGTGCTCCCAGAAGTGGCTGCGGACACTTCCAGAAGGGCCTTGGCTACTTCTAGGAGTGCCACGGTGCTCCCACTCTGGCCAGTGCTTGCAAGGGGGCACCGGTGCTCCCACCTGCCACCCCTGCCCATCACTTAAGGGGCTAGTGTGGCCTGTCAGGGGGTACACCAGAAGTTTCAGGGAGTGCACATGCACCCCTGTGCACTCCTATGCATCACCACTGTTCCCGAGGTTGTGTTTTTACATTTGATTGCCCTACACTAAGTGCAGGACTTTATACTTGTCCTTACTGAATTTCAACCAATTAGTTTTGGACCATTTTCCCAGTTTGTCAATGTCACTTTGAATCCCTCCACCCAGCTAGGTCTCATCTGCAAAGTTACTAAGTGTGCACTCAATTCTATCCTTCAAGTCATTAACAAAGATATTAAGGCATACAAGACCTAGGACAAAACGTTAGAAGTCCCACCTGATACTTAGTTTGGCATTGAGCCATTGATGACTACTGCACTGTGAACCTTAAGCTTCCCTGCTGTTCTAGTTGTGAAACTTCATCTGAATAAGAGCTTACAATCACAGCAGATGGACAATGGACTTTAGTCCGCTCTTGTTGGTAGTATAGGAAAACATAGAGAAACCAAACAATTTCTGTACATTTCAGCCTGTGACTAAATTTAAACACGTAAGCTGCCCAACTGATTTCAACATGATTGCCTTCATGACTACAGAGCTCTAAAACAGGAATGAATTACACAGACTGCCTGACATGCATCTGAGAATTTTTAGGCCTTTATGAACTTATACATCGGTACCAAGTATTCTAACTTAAAAAAGGCAACTATAGAGAAGTGTATCTAACTGAAACCTAATGAAATACTCAGTTAAAGACTGAATGAGTTAGTAAACATAGACTTATTTGTAAACTTTGGAAGCTGAAGCCAGATGGGACAACTGTGATTCTTCAGCTTGACCTCCAATACGTTCATGTAAGGTGTTTATGACAAGATATGTATTAACCAGTATGGTTTTTATAAAAGAGAAATCATGCCTCTCTAATCCATTATAATTCTTTGGGTATGTCAACAAGATGTTGGATGAGACAGTATTTCATGACATAACGTATGAAAGGCTAGTTTTGGAACTTTAGAAAATGTCCTTCAGAAAGAGGCTTTGAAGTAAAATAATACTCATAAAAAAGTAACACTGATCAAAAAAGCCACAAGTCAGTTATGAAACAAGAAATAAAGATCAATAATAAATGGACAGTTTTCAAGCATGGTGAAAGTCTGTCCTCAAGGCTCTGTATTTGAACTAATATTGTTTATTAGTGATCAGAAAAAAAGAGGGAACATGAAAGTGACAAAATCATTTAGTTTAAGACCAGAAAAGTCTCTGTATACTATCATGACAAAACTAGGTGAATGGGCAGCAAAATGGCAGGTAAGCTTTACCATTAGCAGATATGTGATAGGTAATCCATACTGGACAGAATAATTTGAACTACTCTTATACATTGCTGAGTTTTAAATTAACTCAGGAAAAAGGCATGGGGATGGCTGTGTGATACTCACTGAAAATCTCTGCTTAAAAATGCAGTGGCAAACAAATCTTAGAATTCATGTGGAATGAGACAGAAAATACAAAAAATATTCTAATGCCATGTATATAAATCAATGGTTGTTTGCCCTCAGATAGGGGACACAGTTCAGTGCTGAACTCAGAAAGGAGAGATTAAGAGATGAATAATGAAAATGACTAGAAACATGGGAAAAAGTACATATGGAAAGAGTGACTGAAAATCTGGGAATGATTTAGTTTATGATTTAGAGGTATGAAAGTAATAAAAACTCTATAATCAGTATTCAAAGAAAATAAAAAGGAGACACGTATCTACCTGTCTTAATATAAAAATGAAATAGTAATGCACCAAATTTACATGTGATAGAAGGGAATGCACTTTCTGTAATATATAATTAATTTGTGGAACTGCCTGCACTTACAGTGAAATCTGATTAATTCGCCTATCAAATAATTTGCCGTTATGATTCCATGCCAGTGCCCCTCTGCCCTTCTAAGTCCTCCCAATTATCAACTCTTAACAGTTGGTCACTACTGGATAATTTGTTCATATTTATATTCCTGTTGGAGTGGCAAATTAACCAGAATTTAACATAAGATTGGACATTTATATGAATAAGAAAACCATCATTTTACAATTTTCCATATAGGAAGATTATTCTAAGATTGCTCATTTTGCGATTGCTTGCACTTTCTTCTGAAATTTCTACTGCAGGACAGTGTTTGTAACAGGTTGTAGGTCTCAGTACAGACCTTGTAGTAAGACTTGATCAAAATAGATTGTGTATAGGCTTTGACTGAAGTATTCTGGCCAGCAGCAGAGCTGTTGCAGAAGTTTTCAGTTCTTGCTGGGCACATCTATATGAGATGCCTAAATGCACAGTAGCATATTTCACCGCACAGTAAGCATGCATGTCTACAAATGTGCATGCTTACTGGGCAGTAAAAACCCTTAATCCTGCATAAATTTGCTATCTGCAAATGCAGGTAATAAATTTAAGCAGGATTAGTTACTGCACAGTAACGAACTTGTAGACATGACCCAAGACCAAGTTTGCTTCCGACTCTGCCCTGCCACTAGTGAGCTGCCCTCAAGCTAGCCCCAGGGCTCTGGGCTAGGAGACTTCCAGGGCTATGGCAGCCCCTGCTTGAGGCTTTAAAAGCCTGCAGGCATTTTGAGCCCTGGGGCACATCGGAAGGGAGCCTGAGGGCACTCCCAGCTCTGTATCCCCCCTGGGCAGGCTGCAGCCTACCTCTGCTAGCCTGCCTGCACCGCAGCACCACTGCCTGGTACTGCAGTATCATGTGGCTGCCAGGACAGCGCTGTCCAGGTCAGCAGGGTGCTGCAGACTCAGGCCAGGCCAGTCAACCCACACAGGCCGAGTTGCAGGCAGCTTCTGGCCAGCAAGACCAGTGCCACCTGCCCACAGCCCACCCCCAACAGCCTGCCCTGTGCCTGCAGGTGCTGCAGGGCATTGCCTCTGCCATGTGGCTGACAGTCCTGTGCCATGCATTTGTACTGGGCACTGCAGGCAGCTGCCCAGGCCTGGCAGGATGGGGACAGCTGTGTGGTGGTCCAGAGAGCCAGCATAGGACCCACAATGGCTTCATTCTCCTCATCCAGGCCCATGCCCACATCTGCGCCTATGCCTTTCACCTAGGACCCCAACTGGACCAAGGAGGAGACTAGCAACCTTGTGGCACTGTGGGGTGAGGTGGAGATACAGGGCCAATGCCCACATCTATGAGGCCTTGTCAGGATGGATGCAGGAGCATGGGCATGACTGGTCTGTGCAGCAGTGCTGCATAGAAGTCAAGGCCTTGTGGGCACAGTGGGTCACCATGACTATCTACAACCATCAGT